AAATGCATATAGATAATAGAGTTTATTTCTCAAGTTGTTCCTCTATTAAATCAGGTAAATATTAATGATTTCAGATTAATAAATATAGACCATTTTATTCCAGATCTTAGTAGAGTAGTAAAACCTTCAAAAAGGTATTGTTAAATCAATAGATATTATCCTATCTGATCATCTTTGAAACCTCTAGCTACATTCGTCAAAAATAGTGACTTAATTGAATACTTCTTAGATCATTTAAGGATAAGAAGGTCAAAACATTCACAGTTAACAACTTCTGAAAAAATGGCACAACTATTATTAATCGGTTTTTATAATTACTTTTAGAAAGATCCAATAAAAGTTTTAAAAGATGTGTATTTAAATTGATTTAAAGATGATAATTTGGCAACTTCTAAATGGAATTTATTGTGGATAAAATCGTTCATAAAAAAAGTATCATAAAATGATAGAAATGGTAATGTATCTTGAACTCGTGTCTCACAAAAAGTTTATCTCAAAGGTTTGTTCCATGGGCTTATTACTGTCTCTACGTCATTTATTTAATTTGTCTATAGAATATTATCTACAAAATATTATCTTATCTCTAAATATGATTTTTATATGATAACAATTGAATTATTATTAATGTATGTCCAATTATTAATGTATGTAGGGTCATTGACGTTGTTAGTTGATAACTGGATCAATGTTACTACTATTCAAAATAATTTAATTTTTAACAGAATCTAATAGAGTTGAGAAACTGAGATACTCAATATCTCTCATTCTATTAATTTGCTACATACTAATATCCTTCCTTCAATAAGGAAATGTCATCCCCCTCCCTTCCCTCGTGAAACGTCTGTGTGAAAGTTCTTAGAGAGTCACTAACGTGTTCTCTTGGAAGTTGTACATTACTGGAATTATTTGTAAAATTAACATAACATTGTATAAACTTGAGATCGCTCGCAAACTCTTTTCAAGAAGTAGACTTCTCTGCAAAGAGATTGCAGTAAGTATGGCTGGTTTTAAACTAAAAAATATGAACCATTTTACATGTAGTAAGAAAATTGTACGTGTTCGGGTATGGCTGCGTTCGTTTAAAAGATATGGGAATGATATTTTTCGACAATTGATATCAAAATTAAGTAATAGACAAAAATTCAACTTTGTCGCTATTGATTTTTTTTTTCAGAAAAAATTTACTATTTTGACCCAGTATCCGCGATCCCACTCTTCTGAGGAGTATGGGAGTTCATCTATTTTGGAATAAGAGTATTAAGTTTGATTGCAACATTTAATCTTGACTTTCAATAAAAATCTGCAACATTTTAGAAAGTCCACTTCCCTTTCAAGCGATCGCGAATGGGCTTTTATATA